TGGATACATTTGTAATAGTAGCCGAAAGGTCACTGAGTTAGCTACTGAGAAATAGAAATGAAGACATGACTATCAATGAAAACATAGGTTTTTCTACTTTTACATTTTTTTCTTTCTGCTATCCAGTTTACACTGGACAAAGTAAATGGGCAATTTAAAAGAGCAATTTGTTAATTCACTGACAGAGTCTGTTAATTCTAACAAACCAAAGTCCGAGGTTTTGGGTATGGATGATTTTCAGGTTCTTGGCCTCAATCACTCAATCCTGAGTTGACTCAGATGTAAATCTGATTAACACCAAGGAATCAGCTCTCAAGAAGACTTTTGCTCTCCCAGGTGAACATACATGTATGAAGAGAATGGGGTGGTGTAGTAAATGGTAGTACAGAAAGAATATGTAGAAATAGCTCTTCTGGCAAGAAAAGGGCTTTTTTTTTTTTTTTTTTCAAATTGTACTTTTTATTTTGAGATAATTGTATTCTCTTGTACCTGTAGGAGATAATACAAATGGATCCCATTTATCCATTTAGGTGGCTTCCTCCAATGGCAACATCTTACAAAGCTATAGTAACAACCAGGATACTGACATGGATACAATGAAGATAGAGAACATTGTGTTCAGGAAAGTCCTTCATAACCACACCCACTTCCTTTTGGAGCCCACCTTAATCTGTTCACCCATGAATATGCTTTCCATGTCTGTCACTTAGTCATTTCAAGTATTTGGGAAGTTTTTAGTCATTATTTCTTCAAGCAGATTTTAACTCTTCCCTCCTTTACATCTCCTTCTGAGGCTCTGATGATACAAACGTTAGCTCTTTTATCATAAATCCACGCGTCCCAGTGGCTCTATCATTTTTTCAGTCTATTTTCTCCTTGTTCTTCACATGTGCTAATACCTATTGTCCTGCCTTTCAATTCGCTGATTCCCTCCTTGGTGTCTTCCATTCTGCTGGTCAGCGCACCCACTGAGCTTTCCTGTTTCAGTTTGGAAATTCCTATTTGGTTCTTTTTCATATTTTCCGTGCCTTTGCAGAGGCTTTCTGCTCTTTTCATTTATTAGAAGTGTTTTTGTAATTGTTCATTGAGTAATTTTTCTGTGACTGCTTTAAATTTTTGGCCAGATAATTCTAACATCTGTCATCTTGGTGTTGGCTTCTGTTGATTGCCTTTTTTCATTTGACATTTTCCTGGTTCTTGGTATGACAAGTGACTTTCCACTGAAACCTGGATACTTTCATATCATATTATGAGACGATGGGTCAAAATATAAAGCTAATATAGAATGTTAATATATAAAGTTAAAACCTTCTGTTTTAACTGTGCCACCTTGTAACTGCCAGGTGGAAGTATAACTTTAGGTTTCCCACTCAACCCCTGTTGACACTGGATGCAAGGGGTCCCTCCTTACTGCTGGGGGCTGTGAACATTTCTGGCTCCCCAAGTGGTCTCCGCTTGGAAGAGTTGATGGAGTTGCCCTGTGACTTCTTGATGGAGTTGCCCTGTGACTTCTAGATGATGCTGAAAGTCCTGACTCTTCTGCAGGACCCCTGCAGATACCTTCTAGCAAGGAGGAGGAGAGCACTTGCTTATTCCCTTACTGACAAAGGCAGGTGGGTAATTGGGTCAGCCTGACCCTGGGGTTTCACTTGGCCAGGGAACCAACCACAACTCCTACAATTGACAAGCTCCCACTGGAAGCCCACAGTTGGAATTTAGGCGAAACTGTTTCCCAAAGGACAGGAACTGTGCTTTCAGAAAAAGGTTGGAAGGCACTGGATGGAGAAAAAACAACAGTTGCTTAATATATTCTTACTGGTTTGGGGTAACTTAGAATGCTTACTTGGTTTTTTATCTTTTCAGTGATTACAGCCTCTTAAAAAAGGCAAAGAGAGAAAGCGGAGTAACATACAAAGCTTTTTATCTTTTTGTTCATCATTCACTCAGTCTGCAAGTTTTTACTGAGTGATTACTTTGTGTTAGGAATTGTGCTAGATATTGGGAACACATTGGTGAAAACTATACCATCCTTTTCCTTATAAATATACAAATCTGTATTGAAATTTAGTGGGTTAGGTTTGGCAGCTGGGTAAAAAGACTGGTAATTTTGGTTAAAATCTTATATTTGTACAATATCTTATTTAAAAAAATATATATACGTGTGAATACAGCTTTATTTTTAGCAGGAACAGTGCTTTTCCTTCTTTTTGTTAAACATGTTTCCCCCCAAGCTTTTACAGTGACTATGATAACATGTATTTCTATTTTATAATCAGAAGTATGTTAAAAATCATGTAGTTTTCCCCCCCTCTATTTTTAAAAAAATTTTTAAATTTTTTTAAAGATTTTTAGTTATTTATTGGACAGACAGAGATCACAAGTAGGCAGAGAGGCAGACAGAGAGAGGGAAGCAGACTCCCTGCCGAGCAGAGAGCCCGATGCAGAACTCGATCCTAGGACCCTGAGATCATGACCTGAGCCTGAGATCATGACCTGAGCCGAAGGCAGTGGCTTAACCCACTGAGCCACCCAGGCGCCCCATCCCCCCTCTATTTTGTTTTAAAGTGAAACTTCTTAAACAGGATCATCTCTGTTCCTCTTTCTAGTAGACGATGAGCCTTGACAATATGTAGAGACTTTAATTTTAATGTTGATGAATATTGTTAGACATTATAACTTACTTTTCACTGTTAGCTTTATTCTGATATTAAAGACCTTGGGAGGCAAGCCAACCAAAAAGGGGTGACAGTGACTCCAAGATGAACAATGGTCAAGAGATGCCATGGCCCTCCTCTATGAGGAGGAGAGGATCTAAGAACCTGAATCCACCTGTTGTTTACAACCTGGGTAACTCCAGATGTTTAAACTGTTTGAACCTCAGTTTCTTCTCCTGTTTCCTGACTTGCAGACCTCAAACGAGGGACTGAGAGCATCAGGAAGACAACAGCGTATTAAAAAAAAAGCAAGTTATCAGCTCTGCAGCAAATATCAAGATGAACGTCCAATGTTCAACTATTTTTTGGTGGTTTTATGTTCAGTTATGCCTCCAAAATGATCAGACTCAGGGTAGTTCCTAAATGATGGTGGAAAATCACAAAGACCAGGTGAGCAGAAACTTGCTTTGGATGAAGATAATGTAGATGTCGGCTTGTTTCTAGATTGAATTTGCGCTTTCAGGTGGAGTCTCTGAAAATGCATTTAACTTTTCCAAATTTTTAACAGCCCTCTCTTACTTAGGGCCCATGATGCAAGGATTTTTTGTTTCTTTGTTTTTTTTTTTAAAAGGTTTTTTTAAAAAGTAATGTCTATATACAACAAGGGGCTCAAACTTACAATCCACAGATGAAGAGTCACATGCTCTACAGACTAAGCCAGCCAGGCACCTCCACAAGTTTTTAATTTAACTCAAGGTTATATGGGAAGCACATATTATCAGCCAGGCAGTATGCTAGATTCTATATATAAAAGGTTGAATTAAAATGCAGCCCTTAATCTCTTGGGACTAGGGCAATTTAAATGTTATCAGAACAACACAAAACTACTTAAACCTGTCCTTGAAAATAAGTGAATTTGTGATATTTTTGTCAATACATGGTATCTTCTGAACAATAAACCTCGATTTTTGAATTTTGAAATATGCTTTATCTTATCTTTAAGAAAGAATTTTTTTCCAAATATAAGGAAATTACCCAACTAGAACCCCAATTTCTGCATGTGGTTGATAACCCTTTAAAAAATAGGTAATTACAAAAATTCCGGATCTCCGTGAAGTTATTACAGACGCTTATCATATATTATACATATATATGTATCATAATGTAAGTTTAATTTAATTTAAAACATCTAACACCTACAAGGAGAAACTGGGCTGTGTTTGTCTCGCTACAAAGAAATTTGTGCCGTGAAGGCCGGGGTCTTCACAAAGATGCAATGTTATTAAATTCTAGGTATTTCCTTGGAAAGGGAATAAAACATTAAGAAGAATTTCCTTTTTCTATTTACTGGAGGGAACACCAAAGGGCCATTTTAAGGCTCTGTGAGTGCCATATAAATCTCCAAAAGAGCTTGTGATGTATTAAACAAAGGATAACACTAACCACGAGGAAAAAAAAAATCATAGAAACTTCCTGGCTCTGAAGGTCCTGAAAGTTCTGAGCCAGGAAACCTTCCGCACCGGGGCGGGGAATGTCTTTGGCTCTCCAGTGACTCCCTGCTAAGTTCCCCTCAAGTTTTCACTCTCTCTCTCCTCCTTTCCCCGCCTCAGTCCCCGAAAGTGGGAGCCACAGGAGAATGCCAGCATACATACCTGACTTAGAATCAGACTCCGATGCCTGCTTATTTTAAAGGCCCCCACACTCAAAAGAGGCCGTGTTTGCAAGCAAACCCAAGGGACTGCAAACGACGCCTGGAAGCTCATCTTACAAGTTGGGGGCCAAGCCTGCAAAAGAACAATAGTCAAGCGGATCCAGGAGCACGTTCCTTCGCTCAAAGCGGTTCTGCGGGGGCGCGAGGCCCTGAGCCTCGGCGGGGGCCGGGAGCCGGAGCCCCGAAAAGGCGCGCTGCCCCTTTAAAAGGCCGCGCATCTCCGGGCCGGCCTTCCTCCCCCGGGCTCCAGCTGTGATTGACGCTGGGCGGCGAGAGGAGGCGCCTGGCGCTAACAAAAGTCCGGCCCGCGGGCGAGCTGCGCCGGGCCGCGAGTCTCTGCTCGCTCGGGGCACCCGCAACAAGTGGCCGCCGCGCCCTCCCCGGGGAAGCCGCGGGCGCGCAGGGGCGTCGAGAGGAGGCGGCCGAGCGGGGGAGCCCCGGCCGCCCGCGCGGCTCAGCCCCACCGCAGAGGGATCCGGGCGGGCGGATGGGGACCCGGCGGCGGCGGCGCGGCGAGCCTCTGGGCGGCCCCGGGGCGCGGGCTCTCCGCCGCGCTGCGCCCGCCGGCCCCGAACGCGGATTCTAAGAGCGGCGGCTGCTCCCGGCCCCACCCGGAGCCATCGGGGGTGCCAGGCGGGGACCGAGCGCCCCCTCCCAGCGGAGTGCAGGGGCCGTCCCCGGTCGGAGCCCGGCCCCGGAGCGTGGGGTATGCGCAGCTAACGGTCCCGTCGGGCGGGCTTTCCTCTGGTGGAGCGCGCAGGCGGTGCGCCCCAGCTATGGAGTGTCCGGGGAGACGGCGGGCATGACGGCGGCAGGATGGGCGCGAACAATGGCAAACAGTACGGCAGTGAGGGTGAGTGGGCCACCCGTCCTCAGACTCCCGGATCGCGCCCCCCTCCCCTCCCCCTCGCCCTCTCGTCTGGGAAGGAAGGTTCTCGCACGCTACCGTGGCGCACCCCTGTTTGGCACCGTGTCCGGGCCGTCACCCTCCCCTGTGGCACTGAGTGTCGAGGCGCCCCGAGGATGCTTTTCCACCGTGGGGGTCTCATTAAGCAAGTTGCCAGGTTGTTCTTGGGACGGCTCTAAGTTGCATTTCTGCCGTATTTCTGAGCACATGTGCCTCAGCTTTCCTTCCTTAAGCATCTGGGGTTTAGGATGATGGTTTGGCAGATGGCGGAAGACGTTTTTGAAAAATAACGCTGCGAAAACTTTCCCAGGCCTTTGTGCTCCAGTCCCCTGGATTCTCCTGTAGCAGGAACGACTTCTGGAAGAAGAAGTTAAGTTTCCATTCTCTGCTCAGTGCCCCTGAGCTGACAGCTTCGTGAAACACCACCTATGGGCCTCGCGAGGCGAGGAGTGGCCCAGGGCTTTGTCTGGGCTCTCTCGGGGCTCAAGACGGGCAAAGGACCATCTGTTACGTGGGGCTGGAAATTGCACAAAAATATTGCCTGTCAAGTGGGAACTTGGAAGTTGGGGGAACTTTAAACTCCACCTACTCCTAAAAGGATGATGGATGTGTGGGTTGGCTTCTCCCTCGCTCCTCCTCCTCTTTGCATAAAACCGCAGTATTGTAACCCAGCTGATTAACAGCCTGCCCCGGGTTTGCGTCCTGCAAGGGCTCTTTCCGCGGTTCAAAAGTTAGGAAGGTTTGTCTTTCGTGAACTTGACTGGAGGGGAGTGGAAGAGACCGGGTTGCTTTTATAAGCCCGCCCCCAAGGGACAGGCGGTTACAAACGGGGTCCAGCGCCTGCAGACTGGTAGGAATGCAGAATGGCTATTCAGCGTATGGCGTTAGGGAAACTCCTATCGTCCTGTTCAGAACTTTGAGGTGTGGCCACAGAACGTGGATGTCTCCCTGCGTTTGTGTCTGTGTTCGTTCTCAGCAGCTTGGTGAGATAACAGCAGAAATCGACCCTAGAAAACCATATCCTCAAGAACCTTTTGTTTAAATCGTTCTTTTCCAGATCACTATGTTTTGAATTCCATATATACTCCTTATTCTGGGCAGTTTCATAGGAGAGTTCTTCTTCTTCTTCTTCTTTTTTTTTAAAAACAATTTCATTGTTAAAAAAAGTTAAATGGTTGTCTTTTTAGATAGTGCATGTGAAAATATGCCGACAAAGATTATTGCGGAATCTTGGACACTCCCCAGAACTTCTCAATGTTTTAAAAATTTGTGGAAAACTGAAAGACTAAGCCTTTTACTCTGAATATTAAAAAGCTTGCAGGGAGTAAAGTGTGTGCCTGTCAATTGTTGGTATGCCTATATTGTGATATTTGAATACCATCAGGGTGGGGGGGAGGGACACCCCAAGAGGTAAATGGAGTCAGGGCTCTGCGTTCCTGAATAAAACCCCTCCAACACTCCTCCTAATCCTCTGCAACTTGTTCTTATATCCCAGCGTTCTGGTATTGTACAGTGTGTGGTGTATGACGACTTCCTGTCTGAACAGCAGAGTTTTCAACCCTTGGGAGAGAAAAAGAGAGACAGAGAACTAATGATCTCCAGCTGTTATCCGTAAATGCTACCTCTGCATTTTCACTTCAGCTGAAGTGAAATTTTACTGGGATCAGATTTAGATACACTGTGGAACTTTTTATAGGGAAAACCTCTTGGGCTCAGCTGATTCAAGGGAACCAATAGGAAGCTTTGGGTGGTAACTGAGGTTCGGCTGGAGGGAAACATTGTGCTTAGTGTTCAACTCTCTTCAAATGCTTGGAGATTCCTCTGTGATCAGCAAGGAAAAAATACAGAAGTAGAAGTGACATGAACTTTTAATAAAATCTTTTCTCCCTCCCCCCTACTTTAGTTACATTGGCCTTCTAAATAGGGTTATAACATGTGTACAGTTGACCTTTGAACAGTGTGGTGTTTCATTGCTCCTGTGCAGTTGAAACTTAGTGTAACTTTTGATGCCCCCCAACTATTGGCCAGAAGCCTTACTGATAGCACAGTTGATTCACGTGTATTTTGTATGTGTCATATGCTGTACTTGCAATAAAGTAAGCTAGAGAAAAGAAAATGTTATTAAAATCCTAAGGAAAATACGCTTACAATTCTATATTGTATTTACTAAAAAACTTGCATGTAAGTGAACCTACACAGTTCAAACCTGGTTTGCTCAAGGGTCAGCTTCTTTACAGTGTTACTGGATGGTCAAATATATGCAGGTAAGCCTGTTGGAATTCAATGTGTCAGTGCTATCTTAAAATGTCATATTTCAAAGAACGTGAAATCAGCCCTTCGACATAGTATCTCTATTAAGAAGACTGAGAATTAAGACAGTTTTAGTAGATTTAGTACAATTTAGGCATAGTTTGAAATTAAGATTTATTTCAAAGATTTATTTCCAACCATACCTCAGTTGTACTAAAAGAGGGAAATTATTAGTGGATGCATATCCACCAAATGCAGTGAGTGGCCACTCAACTCTAAAACCTAGGGGTTTGTGTAGACTTTGACGGTCGGCTCTTTAAGTATATTTTAGAGTTGACTCCACTGTGTAAATGCAAACCACCTTAATTTTACAAATGGTGTCGAACTATTGGAATGTTTAAAACTTGAGTATTTCATATGGAAACTTACCTTCTCTTGCTCCTCGAAAACTCCTTTTTCATTAAAACAACAAAAATTCTTCCTGAGGCTTCCCATGGCAGGTACAACAAGGGCAGAGAATTCCTATTCTGTGTAGTCGAAGGAACAGCAACATCAGCGTCACCTTGGAGCTTGTTAAAAATGCAGAATCTTAGGTTCTTCCTAGAAATTTGGGGACGTTCTTGTATTGAGTAGAGACCATTAATTTGGATGTCTATAAGTTTGAGTCCAACTTTGATTTAGCTACTGTGACCTTGCTCAAGTCTCCTGAAATCAAGAAACCCCTGACGTCTTTCTTCCCTAGAGAGAAGAGAGGAATTCTTTATTGACGTTATCTATGAAGAGCTCATTCTTGAGCACACAGACATTCATTTTATTTAGCTCTTATAATGCCTTAATGGACCACTTAACAGAGAGTAGCCTTGGAAGGTCTGTTACAATAAATAGGGAAGTTAAGACTGTTACTGCCATGAAATCCATAAGAGCCCCTCCCCCATTTGTCATCCCCTTTTCCCTCATCTCTCTCCTCCTCACTTACTCCCCATTCCTCTCCTAATTGAACCAGTCTTGAAATCCCTGCTTTTTTCCCCTTAAATTCTAGGTATGGGTAAATAATGGGTGTTTCCAAAGTGTTTTGTTTTCCCAAATACTTAGTGACTATTCAGGTTAATGGTTTAATTTGTAGCCTGAGCCCCTACACACACTTGGATTTTGCCCCAGGAAAAAGTTACCATACCATTCCCAATCTTTAGATTTCTAGAAACATAAATGAATATCTAAATGATTAGTATGTTCTGGTAAATCCCTTTATGGAGGTCTATGTTTTTCTCTTTATCTTCCATCAGGTATAACTTTCAGCCTGTGTGTAGAAACCTGGAGAATGAGTTGGAGTGCAGCAAAGCCATTATAACCATTAGCTTTGACTCCAGTTAAGCCAAAAAAAAAAAAAAAAAAAAAAAAAAAAATTCATTCAAGTAGGAAGAGGCAGGCTGCTTTCCTTGCCTTTTAAGGTGTCTGAGCCTCCCCCTCACTTACTCAGTGGTTACATTGTTATGTTTACTCTACTCCAGCAGGAGGGGGGGAAGTAATACACAGTTAACAACTCCTTTGCAAATTCCTGGGTGTTGTTGGATTGGAGCGATGAGGCCATAGTGATGGGGTTTGACCCTTGGGGTTGGTTCTGCTGCTCTGTTAACTGCCCGGGGCCCCTTTTCACCATGTCAGATCTGTGCTGTCGGATGCGAGGAGAGCCAGTTGCCAGAACACTAAATCATCACTCCTCCGTCACCACCTTGGGAAACATATCTTGGAATAATAATAATAATGGCGGCTAATGTTTATCAAAAGCTTACTGTGTCCAAGCATTATTCTAAGCCATTGACATACACTGACTCATGCAATCCTCATGACAGTTCTAAAGGCAGGCCCTCCTGAGGTCCTCATTTTACCAGTAGGGAAACACAGCTGCAGGGAGAATGAGACTTTCTCCTGGTCCTACAGCTAGGACAGGTGGAATTGGGACTCAGGGCCAAGCATATCTAAGCCCAGAGAATTTACTTCTTCAACTAATGTACACTGACTTCTTATTTCTTACTCTGTGCCAGAAACTCTTCTGGACAGTTGGGATGCATCAGTGGACAGATTAAGATCCTGTTGCTTGTCAGTCTTTTCTGTGTGTGTGTGTGTGTGTGTGTGTGTTGGGATGGAGGGAAAGTGGTACAATTAACAAATGTGCATAAACACACACAGTAATTCAATAAACCATGTGATACATTCTAAGGGGCTAATGTCTGAATAAAAAAAAAATCATCAGATGATTGGGAACTGGGAAGAACAGGCTGTTGCAATTTTAGTTAGAATAGTCACCATTGGCTCTGTTGAAAAGCTGGCATTTAGAGCAGGACTTAAAGGAAGTGGAAGACTGATCCTTGAGGATGAGGTGCATGTTGCCTGTTATTTGGAACCGCCGTGTTATACCAAGGGAACTACTCTGCGTTGGGGAGCCCAAGTCCTTATTTGATGGAAGTATCACATCACTAGTCTTCTAACCATAGCTACTGTGGAACAGAGTCAGTTTTGGTCACTGCACATTTTTTGTCTTATTTTTTTTTCTTTTTTGCCTAGAGTCTTTGTAAATGTCTTTTATCTAATATCAGATATTTTGTGACGGCTTTTGGGTGGAGGAAGCCTAGGACCTTCTCCTCTTGCTGCGACCATGGACTATTGCCTGACTCACTGGGTACGTAGACATCTCTCCA